AACACCATAAAAGTATTTGTCATAGAAGGTTTCTTTCTAAGCTGCGTTTATTCAACATAAGTTGTAACAAGGTGATATTTTCAATGTAATGGTGCTTCAGCAAAGATTCAATTCATTTGCGTCGTAAAAGTTCGCATTATAAATTAAACTGCCTTTAATGGAGTCATATTAGGTACAACTATAATATAATTTTATCCCCTATCTTTCTCCTCTATATACTTATCTGTAATTGCTTCATTTAAATAATTGCAGTGTAAGCCAACACAAAGAATGGTTTTATTATTCTGAAAAGATGGTAATACTGTAATCTTCTTACATTTTTACATACAATGAAAGATCTGACAGCAACACAGCTTGGAATTATAATTCAACAGAATTAGATATTTTTATGTCATCATTGCGAAATCATTATTAAATAATATAAGAAATGCGAGTGCTATCTTGGCATCAACCGGGATTTTTTAATTTTTTACTTAATTTTTAGGTAAAACTACAAACGGAAAATAAGTATTAAAATAAGAATTAAAATGTTCTAAATATTCACACAAACATTTTTAGACATTTACTTAAAAAAACACACACACACAAAAAAATATTTTAGTGAACAGGTGTCTAAATATTTTAGTGAATTTTGTAACAGTACCAGGAATAGTAGATGTTGGCCTCTATTTAATATTGTTGAATAAGCTTTAAAAATGTATTAAAAATGTTGATAAACTTTTCATATTATTTATTTCAACATATTAAAAATATAAAAAAAATATCATGTATTAAATAAATCCATTTATTTTAAAAAGAATTAACATATTACAAAATTAAAATATGTTTCATTATGTTAACTCATTTTAAAGTTTATCCAAAACTTTTAAATAATTTGGAAATCTAATTGTCAGGATTGCGTGTCTTTTCCCTGCGCCTCCCGGCATTTTCTTTTACAATTAACAATAACGCACAGCATATTTTTTTATGTGCAACCGAATTCAGATCTGAATCTCAAATTTTCTGCGCCAAATTCGGGTCAGAATGCCAAATTCGCTCGGCCCAATTCCCCACATTATGACAAAAGCATGCACTCTAATAGGGTTTTGTATCACCCACAAATCATAAGGAATTCCACAATGACATGGGCCAATATGAAGTACTACCTACTTATACTCACTTCTTCTACTGCATGTTGCCCACGTGTGATTCTAGTTAGCCCCATTACGTGTTCCTTGTGTACCCTTTTTCTGGTATCAGATTATTGACTTGTTTAACGTTTATCCTAATCTCTGTATTCCTTAATCCTTGGCTACTTTACCATCTATCCCTATTTCTCCTGTCCTTGACCTTGGTTATTCTCCCAGACACTGTCCACCGTTAGTTCGGTCACACTAGGGACTGGTACACAGAAAGTCTATTTGTTGATACATAGATCTGTACATTTAGGTTCCTACCCCTTCCTGACACTTATCCAACAATATTAAATCACGGCCATTGTTCTGACAACTACAGAAGATCGTATTCAACCATGTTTTCAATTTAGCTATTGAGTCTTAAGGTGTAAAATTTACTTTGAATCCTTGACACTTAACTTCACACTTAAGAAATTTTAAATGGACAAGTCAAAAAACAATTGATGGACTCACATCCATGCATCACCACGTGAGGGGTCTAGTTACATTTTATCAGAGCACATTGGCATACAGCATTTCAGCCGGATATATAATTAAGGTCTTATCAGTCCAAAATGTCATATCTCTAGGTTGCATTTTTGGTGATGCCCTTTACAAAGTTTAAAGAATTCTATAAATGATACATTAAAACAATTTCCAATGCCCCAAGTTTCATTTCATACGTTATCCACCATTTAGTTTTTTTAATAAAACATGGTCTAAGAGATAGTCACATTTTATGTACAACAGGCTTAAAATTTAAACAAATACTTGTTGAACATTAAACTTGCCATAAAATGCACGTCAAAGGTTTTCTTTATGACCCTGCCATTAATAGTCATACAATTTTATTAGATTTTTATGACGAGTTCCACTTTTTATTTACACTGTGTAATATAAAAGTCACAGAGGATAGATGAAGAGCTCTGAAATAGTGATTTAAACAGATTTCCATACTGCTTGTTGTTCCTGTGATAACAAACAAATTAGCCAACTGGGTTTTAATTCCACCGTCATGACATTTTAAATTATAGACAATGCAAATTAGTAGAATGCAATATATTAAAAATAAACTGCGTTTAAAGAAAATATAAAAAATAAAATAGTTTTGAAGGACACAATATACTGCTTTCAGTTAAGAATTGTTTTTATGTTTAAATTTATTTATTGGACATTAACCTCTTCTCTCCACACCCAGGGTAATCACAGGTTAAGTATAATTTGCAACATATCTTTTGAGCTTTGAAACTTCACTATTTTTCCAAGGCAAAACAATTCCTAGCCCATTAAGTCATTCCTACGAAATGTCTCAGCTGGGACTGTGAGCAGTCACTCTGCATAGAATGGACTGTAAATTCTGACTCCTATGACTTTATACATTATCATTCAAAGTACAAGGTTTCATTATACACTGCTGAAGTCGGGGGGGGGGGAAGTAAAGGGAAGGGTGGGGGTCGAGGCAGTGGGCTTTGTACATTCTGCATTGCCCTGTGCAGTACAGAGGTACTTATAAATATACTTAATGTATTGGTGTATAATACACATATAAATAGATTAGAATTGAATTCTGCTATTTACAAACTGCATTTTTAAAACATTAATTTTCCTACAAAGCAGTAGACTTCTTATTTCTAGGTATGTATCTTAAATTCTCCTACCCATCTATGACAAAGATGGCAAAGTATAAGGAGAGTCACTTTTGTACATTTTATATGAAAACAATAGAATTCAGAAATAAAACAGTTAAGTGTTTATTTTCTCAGAAAATCAACAAAAAAATGTGTTTGCCAGAAAGCTATTTGTTTATTGTCAGGCACAGAGGAAAGACAGGTTGTTTCCAAATCTCTATACACAGCCATTCCAAAGACAATTTCATATTGCGTGTAGGGTATGATAAATGTCATAACTACACATCTGATTCTACTAGTTTACGTATCAGATAGCGGAGCCAAGAGTTCTGGAATGGTTAGTTACCTCTAAAAATAACTTTGTAAAGGATCATCGGGTTACTCAATAAACTATAAATTGTGAAGACTTGACACAAGGATTACAAAATGATAGGACAAAAACAGCCAAAGTTAATTATTTCTCCATTTTTTTATTTTGATAAAAAAAATATACAATCACTCTAATAGACTACCTATCCAAATTGTCATGGTGCTCAGAGAACTTAATTTGGGAAAGTTGTATACAGAAAATCCAGTGGAAGAAAGATAATTTGCATTTGTTGTACAGTATTCAATGGCAGGGTCGGAGATGTGGCTTAGGCATTAGATGGAGATGACATGGACATGCTTAGAAAGATGTGGATAGGTGGACGGACCTGACATCTTGAGAGAGATGGAGTAAGAGATTGAATTGTGGCTTAATTCCTGAAAATACATGGGTTAAAATTCTGTGCAATACAGTATTCTAGCATGGTATCAACAGCTTTCCAACGTATGACATAGGCATTCCATTTTATGTTCGTTCAGATAACCATTTCTCCCCTGCTAGACAATGAAACATAGACCAAAACGTAACATTGTTACAGGAGGATGAGACGGGATTTGAATCAGCCTTCCCCATCTCAATGCACTAAATACACTCTCTCAGAATATATATATATATATATTCTGCCTAATAGACTTATTTTGCAGAACATACGATCTACAGAACTGCTTATTTTTCATACTTATTTGCCCACTCATCTTGAGAAAGACCTTGCCGTGCTTATATCACAGGTTTTGATATAAGCACACAATTTGTCCACTGTGCCATTATTTTTCTTTTCTATAGATAATAAATTATTTGCAATCATTCTTCCTCTTGTACAACACATTTAAATAGTTTCAGGAGCTTGAACCAATTAAATGGTCATGATGGACACCATTATGGACAATTCATCATTGTAACCGACCCGTCATATTTAACGTGTTATTTCAACAGCATTCCTGTATAATGCAAGTCAGCTACAATGAAACATTCATGAACCTAAATCCCTTAGGTCTATTTTTCTTATTCACTGGATATAAAGGTTTTCTTCAGCTTTTACCAGACAAGCATATAAAACACTTGGCCCTGGTTGTGTTACTTGAAGGCACATGACTACTAAATCGGTATATATAGGTGGGGATTCTATGTTTATGTGTATGGTACAAACACAAAAGATTCTTTATTGCTTTGTGAGATTTCAAACAAGTGCTTTTATGTTTATGCGATTCTGTACAATTTGTGCCATGGCTCTTTGACTGCATAAGAACCAGTTATAATAGTAAAAAACAGATACATTGATGGTTTCAGACTACCTGAAACAATTTAATATGGTTTTATGAATTATTAGATTGTTATGTTTTCCAACATAATGGCCAATATTGGTTTAAATCAATTAAAGTCAGCAGGAGAAGAGGTTATAAAATGTTTGTTCACCAGAATTGTACACGTTTTGTAAAAAAATCTGTTTGTTTGGTGGAGGGTTGTGTTGTTTTATTGTGTGTTTTTGTAAAACATAGCAAATTTATACAACACTAGACTCTAATATTTAATCTATTATATAAACTAAACTACAGTTTGATATAATAAATATGGTGCTATGAGTCTATGGGTGACTTCCTACTTTTTAATAATTATTATTATTAATATTATTTATAAAGCGCTAAGTTCCGTAGCGCTGTACAATAGGTGGACTAACAGACATGTATTTGTAACCAGACAAGTTGGACGCACAAGAACAGAGGGATTGAGGGCCCTGCTCAATGAGCTTACATGGTAGAGGGAGTGGGGTAATGTCACAAAAGGTAAGGGTAGGGTAGAAAAGTAGGTTGCTAGGATAGTGTTCATTGATGGCTTAGTGTTTTGTTTTGATGACAGTTTCAGGAGAAGAATCAGGGTGCGGGGAGGGAAAACTATTCACAGTTTAATTGATATGCTTTCCTAAAGAAGTACATTTTCATCGATTTTTTGAAGGAGTGGAGATTGGGTGAAAGTCTAACAGAGAGAGGGTGTTCCATGGGAACAGTGCAGCCCTAGAGAAGTCTTTAAGGTGAGCGTCAGAGGTAGGAGAATGAACAGAGGTTAGACGTCGGTCTCTGGCAGAGCGTAGGGGCCTAGATGGGACATATTTGTGTAATAGTAAGGATAAGTAGGTTAGAGCAGCATTGTGTAGAAATTTATAGGCAAGTGTCAGGATCTTAAATTGAGTCCTATATCTTACGGGAAACCAATGTAGAGACTGACAAAGGGGGCAGGCGTGGGGGATCAGGTGGACAGGAAGATGAGCCCCGCCGCATTTATTATACACTGTAACGGTGCAAGTTGGAAACACATAAGACCACTGAGAAGTAGATTACAGTAGTCAAGGCACTAGAGGACAGTGGCATGGGCTAGCACCATTGCCGTATCAGACGTTAAATAGGGTCGGATGCGCACAATATTGTTGAGATGGAAGCAGCAGGATTTGGCGATTGATTGGACATGAGGGGTGAAGGAGAGGTCGGAGTCAAAGAGAACACCTAGGCAGTGGCCTTAGAGGTAGAGCAGATGGTAGCGCCATTGATTTGGAGGGACACAGACAAGGGAGTAGCAACACTTGAGGGAGGAAATATCAGCAGTTCTGTTTTGGACAGGTTCAGTTTAATAAAATTAGCAGCTATCCAGTTGGAAATAGCAGAGAGGCAGTCAGAGACACAAGTCTAGAGGGGTGGTGAGAGATCATGGGAGGACCGATGACTTTGCGTGTCATGCACATAGAAATTAGACTGGAAGCTGAAGGAGCTGATGAGTTTACCAAGGAAGGCAGTGTAGATTTAGAACAATAGGGGACCAAGGACAGACCCTTGGGGATCACCAACAGAGAGGGATTGGCAGAGCCCGAGAAAGAAACACTGAATGAGTACTGGGAGAGGTAGGAAGAGCACCAGGAGAGAGCGGTATCTCGTAGACCGAGATTATGGAGGATGAGAAGAAGCTGTTGATGATCAACAGTGTCAAAAACAGCAGAAAGGTTGAGGAGAAATAGGATAGAGTAGTGGTCATGGGATTTTGCAGTGATAAGATCATTGGATACTTTGGACACAACTGTTTCAACAGAGTGACGAGCGCGGAATCCAGATTGAAGTGGGTCAAGTAGAGAGTTGGATTCTAGGAAGTCTGTCAATCTTGCAAACACAACTCTCTCAAGGATCTTGGAGACAAACGGCAGTAGAGAGATAGGGCAATTAGGACAGGGATTTAGGGTAAAGGTTGGACTTTTTCAGAATTGGGGTTATTGTTGCATGTTTAAAGGGTAGAGGAAATGTGCCAGAGGAGCGGGAGAGATTGAAAATTTTAGTGAAAGGCAGAGCAAGGGAAGGAGACAAAGTGCGGAAGAGATACGAGAGATTAGGATCGAGGGAACAGGTGGTGGGGCAGGAGGAACAGAGCAGAGCAGAAACCTCTTCTGCTGTAGCGGATGCAAATGAGCATAGGACAGCTGAGGGAGTGTGGTTAGGGGAAAGTTGGTTAGTTAGTTGGTAGTGGATGGAGAGAGATGAGATTATTCTTATTATTGCGATTTATATAGCGCCAACAGATTCCGTAGCGCTTTACATTATTATTAGAGGGGGGATTTGACTATAAATAGGACAATTATAAGAAAACTCACAGAAACGAAGGGTTGAAGAGGGCCGTGCTCAAACGGGCTTACAGTCTATAGGAGGTGGGGTATAAAACACATAAGGATAGGGTAGATCTCTACCCTGATTGTAGAAATCTTCTCACTGAAGTAAGTTGCAAAGTTTGTGGTGGTCAAGTTGGTAGGAAGAGGCGGCACGACATGTTCTCAGAAGAGAGTTAAAAGCATGAAACAGTCATTTGGAATGTATTGAAATAGTTTCCTTTTAAAGAGGAAAGAGCCAGACTGTAGGAGTGCAGCATAAATTTACAGTGGAGAAAGTCAGACACAGAGTGAGACTTTCTCCAGCAGCGTTCAGCAGTTCTGGAACATTTTTGGAGGTATCGGGTCAGCTTGGTGTGTCAGGGTTGTAATTGGGGGGTGCTTAGTGTGTTTAAGTGTAGGAGGTGCCATGTCGTCTAGTTGAGAGGAGAGAGTGGAGTTGTAGAGGGAGGTTGCAGTGTTAGGGCAGGTGACATTTGAGATGGGTGAAAGGAGATTTTGGAGGTTGCTTGAGAATAGCTGTAGGACAAGACAATGGAGGTTTCTGCAAGACTGATGTGCTGAGGGTGGTGTACTTTGGTTATGGGGTATGTGGATGTTAATGGACAGCAGATGGTGGTCAGATAGAGGAAATGGAACACTGGAGAGATTAGAGGTGGTACAGAGATTGGTGAAGATGAGGTCAAGAGTGTTTCCTGCTGTATGTGTTGATGAATTAGACCACTGTGTGAGTCCAACGGAGGAGGTTATTAAAAGCAGATGAGAGGCATCAGACCAGTTAGGGTTGTTGATTGGGATATTAAAGTCCCCAAGAATGAGGGAAGGAGTGCAAGAGGAAAGAAAATAGGGTAGCCAGGAAGAAAAGTGTTCAATGACTAGCCTAGGATAACTGGGGGGGAGGGGGTGATATATGATGGCAATTCTTAGAGGAGTGGATTTAAATAGGCAGACAGAGTGAACTTCAAAGGAAGTAAAGGATAGGTCAGGGGCAGGGAGAATAGGCTGAAAGGTACATTGAGGTGAGAGAAGGATGCCTACATCACCTCCTTTACAGTTGTGTGGTCTAGGAGTGTGGGAGAATTGTACCCCACCATAACATAAGGAAGCATTTATTATGATAATGTGGAACTACACTTCTGCATTAGTACGTAAGTAATTAAGTGAGTAATTGTATATAACCCACTTACATAAACAGGACTATATATAAACATAGGACACAAGGTCACACATTTAGCCTGGAAGAAAGGAGATGTTAACTAAGGCAAAGGAAAGGTTTTTTTTTCACAGTAAAAACAATAAGAATGTGAAATTTTCTGCCTGAAGATGTGGTTTTATCAGAGTCTATTCATATGTTTAAACAGGAATTGGATAAATACTTGCAAAAACATTATATTCAGGGATTTGATCTTAAATTAGTGTGATAAGAGCTTCTTGATCCAAGAAGACATCTGACTGCCATTCTGGGGTCAAGAAGGGTTTTTCCATAGTTTGATGCAAAATTGGGAGCACTTCAAACTGTTTTTTTTTTTTTTTTTTCATTATTTTGGATCAAAGGCAAAAAAGAATGTCAGAAAGTCTGAACTTGAGGGATACATGTCTCTTTTCTGCTATGTAACTATGATGCTTGGGCCATCACGGCACCATTCAACCTTGGATGATGAAGCTGTGCATCACTCTATATTTACACTGTATGCTTGTTTAGAAACATTGATGGCACATACAAAAGGTTAGACATTTATTTCTTGCAAATACATTCTAAAACGTCCGAGGCGATGAGATCAGATTACTATTAAAACACATTTTAAACAGTACTCTATCTTACCAAATGCAACAATGTATTACTTATTCCAATAAGAGAAACGTAAGAAAAGGATAATGCTCAAAATCTATAAATGTATGAAAGGAGAAAAAAAGAACAAAAGTATTACTGTTTAAAATAAAGAGGTTTGTCTTAAAATGAATGTTTAAATCATCCAGTGGAAGAGTTTCCAATTTAAAATCCATTCCATCTCCATAAGTCAAGTCTTTAAATTATTTTTTTTTCTTTCCAATGTTTATGGATGCGTTTAATCCCAAGAAAACTCTTACACGGATCCGCGTTACGAGCTTTATAAGCCGGCACGTACCGCTCTGTATTTTTCTGCTACCTGCACTAAATAAAAATGGAAGGTAAACACTTGGGCCTTGCTGAGCCGTTAACACTTGACTCAAGTGCACAGACTCGTGATGGAGAATGGAGTAGTTAAACCTGCCCCTGCATTGCCGAGCTTCATTTGGGAGCGCACAGTAAATCAAAATAAAGGTCAGATTATATATAAAAATAAAATAAGTACACTTGGCAGAAGAGAGCTGGCAAGGGAGGGATGGAGGGGAGAGACAGAAATTTTTTTAGTTACATATGGACATCTTTATACTTCTCGGTAGAAATAAAAATTGTAACTGACACTTTGCTTTAATGTTTAACCCTATGTTACTATCCTTTAGTTCATATCTCTGCGCCATTCCATCTGCAATTAATAAAGCCTTTTACCATCATTACTGTAAACTGCAAGGCTGTCAGCTACTCCATTGAAAGTGGATGACTGATGTTCAAATCACAGCTAGGACATGTCAATTTGAAGACTTTATTTTATTATGAAAGTGGTGTTGCACTATTTTGTTTTTATATATTCACATATAAAAGGCACCAACTTATTGCTCAAGAGACTACTGAGAAGGCTCTGAACATTGTGAGTGCACAATCATATTTATACTGTAAATATTACACCGTTGGTTGTTTATTTTTAAATATTACATGATTCCATGAAAATAGATTAAAAATAACAAATTATCAAGTTTAAGTATATTTTATGGTAGTTTTTATGGCGTGAATATGCACCAATATTGAAAACCAGTGCACCACATTTTTTTTTATTTGTAGTTTTCAGTCTACAACTTTGGAAGAAGTCACACTACTTGATATAGGAGAAGTTCGATGAGTTTAAAGGGACACTACAGTCACCAAAACAACTACACCTTAATGTAGTTGTTCTGGTGAGTATAGCATGTCCATGCAGACATTTTCATGTAAACAATGCCTATTGACAGAAAAGGCAGTGTTTACATTGTTGCCTAGGGACACCTTCAGTGGCAGTTACTCAGACGGCCACTAGAGGTGCTTCCTGTGACAGTGCTGAACAATGTGCAGCACTGATGTTCAGCCTGGAGATGCTTAACATTCCTCATAGAGATGCATTAATTCAATGCACCTTTATGAGGAAATGCGGATTGGTCAGCGTGGTGTTTGGCTCCTCCCCACACCCTACCTCCTTGGCTGAGATCATCAGAATTGGCGATCTCAAACAATCCAATGCTTTCACATGGAAAAGCATTGGATTGGCTGAGATTGTCAATTCTGATGATCTCAGCCAAGGAGGCAGATCGGGGGTGGAGCAAGTGCCAGAGGACCCATGCGGC